CTGAAAATGAAAAGTTAGCCCTCAACATTTTCACCAGTGTATATAATCTCTTACCTTCCAATTAACTTGCTTGCTTATGAGCCAAAGTATGGTAAAAAGAAAAAGCATTCCACTTGCCTTCATTAGTTTGCAGCATTTACACTGGAATTGCCATGGTAGTTCTATATAAGGGGTTTTCTGCTTGCTAGTTGTGTTCGGTTACTTCAACTATTTAGCCAGGTCACTATCAGAAATATTCCTCTTACAGCTGGCTTTCAGTCTTCTGGGTTGGCATTTTTCAGCCTTAAATCTCCTCTTTGCTCTCATTCAGCAGATATGCTATAACAGGAGAAAAAGCAAAAATTCTTAACCTGCAATGCTGGGATAGGGATGATCATTTTTACACAAGTTTGTGCTGTAGAAGACCTCACCTGCAGAGCTCTCAATGCCAAGGCAAATATTGATTTCAAATACTGATATTAACAGAAGAAAAATGTTCAGGATCTGTAAACTATTTTCTTATAGTATTTCTACATTTTGCAGACTTCTCTGTTCTGACATTTCAATATATGGAGATGGAGAAATCTGTGGAGAAAATTCTTAGCATTAATACACTCAGCATTTGTGGCTTTATTGCGTTAGATTCAACATGCCAAATGGCTAGATTAGTTCAAAGGGCTATAATCAACTCGAAATACAGCCAATTACCTATGAGTTATAGATTGTTTCAGGTACTGTACTTGCAGTTCTTCTGTTAATCCATGCAGTGGCAAGATGACATTTCCTCTCTATTTTTTTTCGGTAGTTGCTTTTGCATGTTCTTCTTTCATAAAGGAGACAGATAGATAGATTTATATATGCCCGGAGGAAACTTGACAAATTGCTGATTATTGCCCACAGATGATACAAATTTGAAAAAAATAGTCTTCTGAAATGTTTCTTAATAAAGTCCTATAAGTTACTTGTAAAAAAAAGGAAAAGCACTTTAGACAACAACGTAATATAAACCACAGCACTTTTAAAAATGTATGTGGTGTACGATATAACTGCATATTTTACTGATAGCAGAATTAGGCCTAGAAGTATTTTTAAATTTTACAGATTTAAACATGTATCTTCTCCTAAATCCATACACGAGCAACTATCCCTAGTAGCCCTCCAAAAACTGGGCTGTCATAAAATGTATCTTTGTATTGAAATTCACTTTTTATTTATTTTGCTTGGTACAAGTTATAATGAAAACAGAATGTCAATGTTTGCTTTCCCTCAGGTCATACCCAATGCGTATATTTGCTCTTTGTTACTTCAACTATTGCATAAACTTTGCAAGGCCAGAATTATTCATTTAACTTGCTGGGCACTCTGGCTGGAGATTGATTATTTTATCAGTGTCAGTTACACTTCCATGCTGCATTGCCTCTGCTATAAATCAGATGTGGTATTCTGGAGATTCCTACAAACAGCAAACTCGGCAAGTGTCCAGGGTAACCAATTTACATTTCACTTCTGCTTTTACATAGAAATATTTCATAAATGTGTCCCATCGGACCAGGCCCAGGAGATGCATTATGAGCTTTATTCTGCAGTTGCCTAGGGCCATGATCTTGCAAATATCTGTACTATAACTATGCAGGAGGCAAGGTCGCCTTCTCATGAGGCAGGCTGGTATGAATGCAACCAGCCAAGGTTACAGCAGCAAAGGCACGGAGCAAGCTGCAAGAGCCCTGTGGGAAGCGACTCAGCGAACAAGGTTACAGGGAAGGCTGCTTCCACCTTTTGCAACAGTTACAGTTACCTTGAGCGACTACACTGAAACTAGCTCACATGCCTATAGAGGAAACCATTAGCCTTCCTGGTCAAACTGTGGATGTTAAAGCAATCCTAAAATATGTATAACACTAATTTTTTTTGTGTAAGAACTCATGAGCATTTGGATTGAGGCATAGATGTGCGACTGTGTGCAAATGGTGAAGTAGAGAGACGAGTGCCGTCCAGACACTCCTGAGCACTTAAGAAAGCTATGGTTCATATAAGCACTTGATATCTATGACAACTCTGACAAAGTAAAGAACTGGGCACAGTATGAAATGGAATTTAACAGCCCGATGGGATTCAGAGCCACAGGCATTTGGTCTGGTAATGTGTCATTCAGGTAACTTCTGTGAAAATTGGTTCAAGCACTAATTGCAACTTCATCTCACAGCGACTAGGCTTAACTACGAAGAAATTTTTTTATGACTTGCTTCAGGTGCAGTCCTCAAAATCAACAGTGGGCATACAAACTGAAGTGACTATATAAAGTCTACTTTGCAAGCATCTGAGGGACTCAAGCCCGACGGATATTTATTTTAAGTATGATCCTTAATGGTCTTTGTGAACGCTATTTCCTTTGACTCAAGTGAGAAAATAGGGTTTCCCAATCGTGAAGCACTATTGCAGGCAAAAACAGGAGGACACAAGGACATACTGAGGTAATGTGTTTGTTTGTCAGATGGGCAGACATAAATGATGCACTTGAGTTGTACTGGTCAGAGAATCTTGCTTTTCTGTTTTAGAAACCATAGTTTTTATCTGCAGTTACTTGATAGCTTGTTCTTAAGGATTTACCATATTGGAGATGTATGATTACATGGTCATTTCACCAGACAGCAAAAGCAATGTTAATCACATCAAACCCATGCCACTCCAGTACTGAGTGGTCATCCAGACTCACTCACAGCGCAGACCTTATATTCACTCCAATATTAAGCATATAGAGGCAATTTTTCTCTTGCTTGTTCACATGCTGAACAGGAAGAAAAGTGTAGCTGATCCACTGTGTTATTAATTACAAGCTCATAAACTGAATCTTTTAATAATGTTAATTGTCTTTTTAATTGGATTGTAGAAATGAATCCTGAACAGGCAGGAAAACAGATTATGATCTGAACAAGTCTTTTTCACCTATTTTACTTCGTATTTACATATTTAAATTTTCCTTAAGGAAGTTGCCATTGTTTGTGTCAGTTCTCAGAACACCTTGCCCTAGAATCTTCCTATAAGCAAGATGAGTTTAAACAATTTCTTGTCTCATTTGACCAACTAGACTTTGGGAAGCATACACAGCCCTTTCAGAGGTGGGTAGACACCCTGTTCCTCCAGCTAGAGGAAGGATGGTGTGCTTGCCTGTGTGGCAGGCGTGTATCATAAGTTTGAAGCAGATATGGTGAATTAATTTCCTAACCTTGCAATCAGGTAAAAAGAATAAGATGAAAACGAAGGAAGGGCTTAACTTGACTGAACACAGCACTGCTTTTGGCCTCTTGTTGGCATTTGCTAAAAAATTGTGAAGGACGCATTATTGTTTCTGTAGTCCCTAACAACATTACAGAATATCCTATGCACTTACTTTTCTGTGGTTACCTTAATGCATATCGCAAAGATCCCCAAAGATGTGCAGAACCCCTGCTGATTTCCAGTATGCTGATCAGGGTTTTTGACATTGGAGACTCTAATCTTTACTTAGAATCACTTTTAAGTCATTTTAGGTATGGATGAAGGTGAGGCACTCCAGGAAGCGATTTCTGCTCCACTGCCAACACAAACACATCAAACCAGGGGTAAATAGATGAGGTAAGCACAATTATCAATGTGATTGACCCATTTAGCTTAGTCTAACTGAAAACTCTTCTGGAACAGAAGGATATCCATTAGGTAGGAATAATGCCATTACATGAGATGCATTCTCTTGTCTAAAAAAAATTGCAAAAGAAGTCACTTCAGGCCAGGAGAGAGAAGTAGCTGCCACAGAAACTGAATTGTGAAGCTCTGTTTAGAGAGAGAGAGAGACGGTCCTTCTGGAAAATATTAATTAGCTTTTTCTCTATACTCATTACATCTCCCAACCTGCAAAGGCATCTGCTTGCCAGCTACAAAGTGCATTTGCTATAGTACTATCTGTCTGACAGTGAAAGTGTAACTGTATAGGAAAGAGACAGGCACGGACATAGCTGTCTGAGGAGATAACTAAAGGTACAGCACACCAAACAGGCACCCTACATCCAAGTTTTAATCCCATGTGGAGTTAATTTCACTCACACGTTTCTTAAAGCAGAACGGCTTTGGCTTCTGAGAGGCACAGACTTTAAATTAGGGGACTAGGAGGGTTCTCCAAATTTAGTCCCAGTAATGGCTCACTGGTGGGCAGAGGAGGTAAACTTGGCATCAAAGGCTATCCCAAGGGCTACAGGAGGAGCTAGGCACCGCTTGAGGCTGACGGGGGAGGAAAGGGCGAGGGAGACTTCCGATGAAGTTTAAACAGACCTTCACAACCTGTTGATCACAACTTCCTGGCAAACACCTTGAAGGAGGATTCTTCTGTAGCTAAGATTTGAGGATTGGGTTGGTATCCTCTGGGGGCTCACAAAACAGAGGCAGCGCAGTATAAGATGCTTTTGACTATACTGTGAATGATTCAGTAGTGTTACTAACACTGTTTACTATGGTATGACATTTGCAAATAAAACTGTGGCTTCACCATTTCAATTTTATTTTTAGACATTCTTCTTTTGGGTTCAGGGCTCTGCCATACATTCCTGTGAAATTACAGGAATTGCAGTGATGAGTGCCTATTTCTGGACAGAATATCACGATCTTCAGAAAAAAAAAGCCTCTGTTACACAGCAGTGATCAAAGGAGGGTTTGTGTGCTCGAAAGTTGCTCTACTTTTTTCCAAGTCTCAGCCTTTTACTAGAATGGCTGATCCAGTGAAAGCTCTTACCTCTGCCTGTGAACACCACCGTGTTTGTCATTGGACCGCCACGACAGCATCGCTGGCTGCACAACTTTGCTTTTCCTGGAAAGCTCAGCAAAGCGGGGAGGGGACAGACAGCAGGCAGGCAGTAACTCCAGCCGACAGCTGATTTTCCCAAAGCCCCTTTCACTTCGCTTTGCCCTGCGTCCCGCCGGCGGGGCGAGGCCAGCCGGGGGGAGGAAACGCCTGCCATAGCCGGGGGCCACTGGGGGAGCTTGCCCGGGGCAGTGACGCCAGCAGCTCGGCCAGCCTCGGTGCAAGCCTCAAGGGGGAAAGCAGGAGGAAGGGGCTGTGAGGAGCCAGGAGACTGCAAGGAAGCGGGCCGGGGCAGGTAAGGGGGCTTTGGCTCTTTTTAACCCTGGGTAGGAGGAAGGGGGACTTTCTCCCCAGCGGCTGTATGGTCGCTGCGGTGTCAGCCCATCTCCACGGCCCCTGCAAAGGCGCCTCCAGAAGGCGATGGGGACGCCTGTTTCACGGAGGTGCTGCTGCTAGCGCTTGCTCTGGGTAACTTGTCTGACCGCAGCGAAGGCGATCGCCCATAAATATGTGTAGCGCTGAACGTAACCTTGCTGTGACCGTGAATTTGTGGTGGAAACAGTTTTAAGATCCTCAGATGTCTGGGGACACAAACATGTCGGTCCTAACTTGCTCCCTTTGCAGACTTTTTGAGATAAACTCCATGAGTATGGACCTTGAAGTCAGAACTAGCTTTTGAAAAGGCTGCTAGTGTTAGAATACTACTGTCCCCCTTTTGTACGTCCAGATTACCTTACCCCAGGCACGAGAGTTTTTGCAGCAGTGATTCTGAATCATTGAATAGAGGTTTTTTTAAATGTTAGGGATGAGAATAAAACACTCACTTTAGCTGTAAGCTTCTTGCACTGCTTTTTTCCTTCCTCATCTTTGGATGCTTCAAATGGAGAGGTACATCCAACCTTAAACGTCAAGGTAAAATCAACAGAATTTAAATGTAGTCATGTGTGCTTACTAAATAACAGAAACCCTAACATTAGATTATCTCAGTCTCTCTATTTCAAAATAGAATCATCCTTGGAAAAACAGTTAAAGCCCCTGAATATGTTCCATTTTGTTTCAATTTTCAGCCCTAAATTATATTCCGCTCTTGTAACAGTGCTTAGTATTTGACACGGTACCAAACATTTCATTATATTTTTGGTAGCTGACTTTCTGAAATTTCAGAGCTTAGGAACTAAAACATTCAAGTACTAAAAATCAAAGTGTTTATATTTCTTCATTTTAAACTGAAGTTTTTATGATTAGTTTGCATTTACACACCTAGGACTTGCAATTTCTCCAGTACATATAACTTTGTTTGTGTGAAATTGTATTACTGGTTTTGTAGATCTCTTAAGTTATGACACCCCTTGCACCATTTGTAACCATAAGTAGTTTGTCATTTGTAAATGGAATATATGCAATATCTATTTGAGATGAAAAATGGATCATTGACTCCAGATATTTTTTCTGAAGTTCACTCAGATGGCTTTCACCAGTTTTCAGTGTTACTTATGCAGGCTTTTCACATATTTTTTTCTCTACAAATGCAGTCGGGTAAAACAAACAGATTTCTCTCAGTTGTGGAGAATGTAGGTAGAAATAACTGCTGGGGCAGAAAAGTAAAATGAAACTTTAGGAGTGTCTGAAACAATTATGCCAGTGTTTAGGCAAAGTACTCCCTGTTTACTCTTTTTTTTTTTTTTTGTGCATTCAATCTGCTTGTACATATCTTCTTACTTAGTACCACAAATGGCCAGTGCAATAGCTCAGAAATGGGCTCAGAATGTTTTTTCAGGCCTAAGGCATAAATCAGTCAAGACTTTTCACTGTCAAAACTCCTGTCATTTCAACTGGCTGATAATCTGTTTGTTAGATGCAACCAAACACTCTAAAGTTCACTTGCAGTAGGCAGCAGTAGTCTTTTAGATCTTCTCTTCCCAGGTACTTACTGAGCAAGGCAAGTTACTAAGACTAGGGATTATAAAGAATTAAACATTATTTTTGAAGGAGCCTAGTTTTCAAACCGAGTGGCACATTGGAGTGGCAGTCCTGTTTTATTGTGCTTCACAAGGCAGACCTTGAGTTCTGGCGCTGCTTTTTCCACCAAAAAGATAAAAACAGAGTCTCAAGTCCTTTTAATCAAATTATGCCTAAATCACAGCCTTCTATAACATTTTTGTGCTCTTTTAGTAGAATTCCTAAAACTATTTCTCTACATGACCTTGCATTTGAGACATTTCTATGATATAGAGTGTAGCATCTGTAATGTCAATCATTTTAGAAGAGTATACAGCCTCTGGCTTGCAGATGCTCGTCTAATTGAAGTAAAAAGCTCCTATTCCATAGCAATATTCTTGCTCATTTCATTAGGAATCCTGTCTGTCGAGGGGCAGCCAAACTGATGCTGCTGGCACTGGAGCCCGCTGTTATGGAGGACTCCTCATTTTTGGCTAATGTTACATTAGGTCTAGCTGATCCCCATCTCATGAGCAAAAGGGGAACTATAAAGAGGAAATATACCCGTTTCTCAGGTGCATTTTGATTTTTCTAGTTGGGCTAACTTCATCTGTTATCAATGTTATCAATCGCCTTTCCAGCACCTTCTCACGTATTCGTTCATCTTTATCTCCTGGCCCATTCATCCTTCTGCTGTTGAAAATGTGTTTCCTCCAAGCAGTACGTGGTACATGCAGTGCATTTTAGAGCCCTTGTGACAAGCAGTGCATTGAGCACCCTGACTTCAACAAACATACCTTGAGGAAAAGATTTCCAGATAAAAAGGCAAGTGTGTCAAGGCAAAGCTCTGGGTACAAATCCTGCAGCTGTACCCGCCACTACTTAAATGCTTCAACCGACTTTCTACTCCGTTGCATGGATGTATGGCAGCTACTTTTAAGAAAGCCTTCTTTCTTTCATTTTTCTTCTTATTGCAACACAATGTTGCAAGCCCCAAGCACTCAAATATCATTGGTTACAGCACCCAAATCCATGAGATGTAAACATGTATTTTGAGTCACTTTATTTGCCTTTTCATCTAGAGCACTTAGGGCTCATACTACCTAACTGTACTCCACAGATAGATGGCCTGGCTGAAGGCGGAGTATCACTTAATCAAATCACTTCAGAAAACAGAGATTCAAGAAAAAGAGGCTGGATCTCACAGGAGTCAGCAAAACGAAGCACAGGCTCTCACAAGAAGCCAGTATGTCGGGCTTGTGTGCCTAATCCTCTTTCTGGCGTCCAGTCTCCTTCCTACCGGGTGACTGTAGAAGTTCAGCTCTTACAGGTGTTACCTGCTTGTTGTTCAGTTATGAGCTGTTACGAGCATCACCTGGTATAACTGAGCTGGTTTGTAATGTTTTTGTAAGAAAACTGAGGTCTTCCTATGACCATTGTCAAAAACAAATACATGAATGCATTTGCATTTGTTGAAACTAGTTCCTTTCCCGTTTTGTCAGCTTGATGCTATCCTGAAGTTGCAAACTTCACATCCACGGCAGAGCATGACGCTTCTGCTTATCAGATGTTGTTAGTGCCTGGGGATTCTTTAAAATAGGGTCTTTTTTGTAATATTCCGTTTTTTGTCCAAAGGCAGCTCAACATCCAGGATGCTACAAAGTGAAATGAAATCTTAATACCTTTTCTGTACAGCAACTGGTTGTTACAATAAGGGAACAACCCTTGCAACTGAAGAATTATTGTTCATACTAAGATCAGCAAGCCCTGTGCTTCAGCAGTACCTGAAAACTCGTCCTTCTCCAAGAATAGAGCTCCTCAGCGTTATTTTTCAGACCTGTCTACTTTGCAGTTGGAAAATACCATTTTAGGCTAAAGTTTCCTTAGTTTCCTATTTTTTGGCTTGCGTCTTTTTGTCCTCTTGTCTTCCTGAAGTATTTGGAAACATAAATAACAATTGCAGCAACTTCTAACATCCTGTAAAGGGCTAAGCGTTAAATGCAGGATTTTTCACAGTGGTCATTTGTACTTATTAGAAATATTTGTCCTACCTTTTTTATAGGAGCAGTCCTGTCAGGTTCACTACCTTATTAGGTTGTATTAGATGCTGACTGTATTGTTAAGCAGTTGGAAGAGGAATTCCATGAAAGCTAACAGAAACCAAGTCATGCTTTCTTTCATCACCTCTCCAGAGCTGGGCTTTGGGTTCTAAATCGTCAACTGAGATTACAAACTTTTGCTCTCTTGATGTTTTTCTCGCCTCTCTATCAGTAAGCAGAGAACAGTGATGTAAGCACACTTGGAACTACAGGGAGGGATTGTACCTTACCAACTGGCTGAGGCCACTCAGGGAGCATGCTCCTCACAGATGGCGCGACTTCTGCTTGGCCGTGGTTCTTCAGGCCTAGGATCCTGCAGAGGTTGTTCAGCGAAGTGACTTTGGATGTTTTAGAGACGATAAAGATGATAAGAAGAACTGACTTCTTATCAGAGAGGGAGAATATGAGAATATCAGCAGCTGGCACAATTCAGGTTAAAATCATGAAACAGTAAGTATGCTACTTGAATCCAGCACCTGGTGGACTGGAAAGAGGAGCTGACCTCCAATGTGAGTGAAGGGCTTCCAGGGCACTGCAGTATGGTGTAGCAGCATGTCCTTCCACTGTGCCATTTTTCTGGCTGTACTCAGCTGCTGCCCTGCACAATCACAAATGTGCTCTGCAGCGTGCAGCAGGAGCTAGCATCTGCTGCGTTGCCGGGAACCGCTCGCTGGCAGCATCTTGCTTTGAGGGCAGCAGTTCCTGCTGTGTCCTCTGTGGGCAAGGAAACTGCTGCTTTGACCCAGGGGCATTTGGAAGGTCACCCTCCGGGAGGCAGGGGCTACTGCTGAGTTCCTGCACACAGGGAAGTGGCTGCAGTGGCTGTGGTCAAACATACGCCTGTAGGAGGTGGCATTCTTATACCTGCAGTAATTTAGTTACCTCTGCCTTGCCGTTATTATTATTCCCGTTATTTCAAGCAGTGCTAGCAAATAGCAGGTTATATGACCAATAAACAAGCTGAGCTTCTTTCGTAGGAAAAATGACTCCTATGTATCCCATGCAATTACAAAGTTGAATCTGTTTTTTTTTGTTGTTGTTGTTTGTTGTTGAACTTCTGGTGATGTGAATAAAAGGTTCCAAATTGGCAGTCCTGGAGACTAAAGATTTCATATCCACGGAGCAGCAGCTGCTCTGATATTGAGAGCCAATAGTAAGATTGTTATGGAGTGTTTGTTGTCCCTGGATAACCCCTGGAGACAGCCTGCTGTAATATGGGAGCAGAAGCAGAGTCAGTAGATGCACAGAGAAAGGGAAA